GAGAGGATGCTCTCAAGTCTCACCCCAACCAACTCCGTGCTTGGAAGCTTCCCAATGCCTAATTTCTTTGAGATTTTCAGGTCATGCTTAACATCACCTGCCCTGCAGAAGGAGGGAGCTTGGGCAAGGGAACGCAGAATTCTCTCTCCTCCAGGGAACGCTTTAAGGGAGGAAAGTTACTAGTATTGCTTGTCGGGCTATGGAGAGAACATGGGGGGTTTCTCAGGCCCTAGAGGGCAAGGACCAGGTCCTCCCACCCACTCACACTGCTGTGGCACAGAGCCCAGAGCCAGCAGGGTTGTTTTCCTCCTCTGACCCCGAAGGAGAAAAGGAGAAATGCTCACCTTCTCTAGCACTTTTGCCCAGGTTGAATGCAATTCCTCTTTCCTTTGCATTTCATGCATTTGGCGAACCTTGTCTGAAATGGGAAACTAGACAGAAAAGCAAAGTCAGGGAGAAACGTCTCCAGGGCTCGCTACACCTACCCACCAAGCAAGATGGCAGAGCAAACCCTCCCTGCTCTGCCTCAGCACCTTCCCTCTCCCCAGCATGGGTGCAAGAGGCCACAGTGGGACTTCAACTAGAGCCTAAAGCAGAGGCTCAGGCAGAGCTGCATCTTGGGGGTGGGCTGAAGAGCTGGTTCTCTGACTGTGGGATCTTGGGCTGGCTGGAGCAGACCACTCACACAGCAATGACCTCAGCACAAGGTCTGACCCAGCCTCATTCCAGTGCTGCTTCCAGAATGCCGAACAAGGCACCAGGCACTGCCAGATGCAGCGCGGGACATTAAGTCACCACATACAGGCAGCCCCCGGGGCCAGGAATGGGAAACATGTGCTGTGACCCCCTGCAATCCCTCCCCCTGAGCTAAGGCACTCCAGCAGCCTTAGAAGACTGCTGAAGAACCAGAAGGGCTCAGGAGAAAGCCTTCTCCAGGGTCAGAGAGGCCTCTCGCTCTCACCTTCACAAGGAAGATGTCATTGAGGAGGCAGTAGTTGCTCTCTTCAATTATCCCGTTGAGATTTGTCCGTAGCACGTGCTCCCTGGCACTGCACGATTCACACTCATGGAGGCCCATCACCCTGGCCATCAGAATACGCATGGCAGAGAAGGACTGCCTCACGTTGACCTCTAGCAGTTCCATGCCAAATACCCTGCCATGCAAAAGCAAAAGGCACTGAGATCCCCAACGGCCCAGGTCTTCTAAGACAAAAGAGCTGGAGTTGCCTTTAGGGGGAACTCTTCAGCCTCCCACTTCAAAGTGGTACCCGGAGTTTCACTCCTTGTAAGAGAAAGGGCACAGAGAGGCAGTTGCTGCCAAGCCACTGGGAGAGCTAGGTCCAGACCCGTTCTGGTCTCTGCAACGCTGGTCCATGTCTCCCTACCTCCCTACTGCAGAGGGACTTGCAGAGCTAAGAGGTGATCATGGAGCAAGTGGTGTTTGCCTTTGGGCTCCAGACCTTAGCAGTCTGCCTCTCAGCCACAGAAAGGCTTTTCTGGCCCAGTATTCCTTCTGGGAAACAGTCAGGGGGCAAGCAGGGCTTCTGAGACAGGCCACCCTGCTATATGTTGCATCTGGAATCCAATGCAAAGCACCAAGTTTGGGCTTTTTCCTTCTATTTGTGAAGGAGGAAACACCACAGGTCAAGTAGCACCTCCAACACCCCGAAGAGACAGGGGCAGGAGCAGAGCACGCAGGAGATAACTATGGAATGCCTCCATGAGGCTTTTTGAGGAGGCTTCAGTCCAAGGCCAAGGCACACTGGCCAAGGGGCTGGAGCGTTCCATGGCTCTCAGGGATGGAAAGAAGCAGTGTCCCAAAACTACAGGACAAAACCCTGTACCTGCAGCCAGCAGACTGGCCTAACTGGGACAGGTGATTAAGTAATTGGCTCTTCCCAGCGCCCCTTGCGCCCTCAAATGCCAGTATGTGTCTTTGTCCAAAACGGTTAGAGGCTTCCAAGCAGTTGACAAAGAGGTCAATCTCCTTCTTCCGACCTGTGAAGACAAACAAGAAAATGAGCTGCTGGGGCATGCTAGAAAGCAAAGAGCCATCCCTTTGGCTGGCACCCTCCACCACAGCTTCCCTCCCACTACCACATCTGGCAGCCTACGATACCCCTGCTGCCTTCCAACCCTCTTGTCCCAGCTTTTGCACCTCTGCCTTCCTCAGAGTGGTAGCGGATGCCCTGTCCCACAGAGATTCAGACAGCCCCATGCAAATCCCCTCAGGGATCCAGTACAAGGCTGGAAGGGATGATCTGAGTTGCTTCAGGCACCTGTGTCCCAAACAGACTTAGAACATCTTCTCCTGGCTGTACGACTGGCCACAGAGCACATCAGTGTTGATACACAGCCGTGTTTTAGTTCTTGCCAAAGAGGGCTTGCACAGCATCAAGGCATTTTCTATTTCTCATGCCACCCTGCCAGCAAAAGCAGGCTGGGGGTGCACAAGAAGTTGGGATGGGGCACAGCTGCAACAGCAGACCCCAGCTGGCTTATTTCATTGCATATGATGCTGTGCTTCACAAGAAAAGCTGGGGAAAAGGAGGAGGAAGGGGGCACACTTACGGAGAGCTTCCTGTGTTTGCAGTCCTTGATACACATGTTGAAGCTCTGCAGTGTGCCTTGGCCTTGGACTGAAGCCTCCTCAAAAAGCCTCATGGAGGCATTCCATAGTTATCTCCTGCGTGCTCTGCTCCTGCCCCTGTCTCTTCGGGGTGTTGGAGGTGCTACTTGACCTGTGGTGTTTCCTCCTTCACAAATAGAAGGAAAAAGCCCAAACTTGGTGCTTTGCATTGGATTCCAGATGCAACATATAGCAGGGTGGCCTGTCTCAGAAGCCCTGCTTGCCCCCTGACTGTTTCCCAGAAGGAATACTGGGCCAGAAAAGCCTTTCTGTGGCTGAGAGGCAGACTGCTAAGGTCTGGAGCCCAAAGGCAAACACCACTTGCTCCATGATCACCTCTTAGCTCTGCAAGTCCCTCTGCAGTAGGGAGGTAGGGAGACATGGACCAGCGTTGCAGAGACCAGAACGGGTCTGGACCTAGCTCTCCCAGTGGCTTGGCAGCAACTGCCTCTCTGTGCCCTTTCTCTTACAAGGAGTGAAACTCCGGGTACCACTTTGAAGTGGGAGGCTGAAGAGTTCCCCCTAAAGGCAACTCCAGCTCTTTTGTCTTAGAAGACCTGGGCCGTTGGGGATCTCAGTGCCTTTTGCTTTTGCATGGCAGGGTATTTGGCATGGAACTGCTAGAGGTCAACGTGAGGCAGTCCTTCTCTGCCATGCGTATTCTGATGGCCAGGGTGATGGGCCTCCATGAGTGTGAATCGTGCAGTGCCAGGGAGCACGTGCTACGGACAAATCTCAACGGGATAATTGAAGAGAGCAACTACTGCCTCCTCAATGACATCTTCCTTGTGAAGGTGAGAGCGAGAGGCCTCTCTGACCCTGGAGAAGGCTTTCTCCTGAGCCCTTCTGGTTCTTCAGCAGTCTTCTAAGGCTGCTGGAGTGCCTTAGCTCAGGGGGAGGGATTGCAGGGGGTCACAGCACATGTTTCCCATTCCTGGCCCCGGGGGCTGCCTGTATGTGGTGACTTAATGTCCCGCGCTGCATCTGGCAGTGCCTGGTGCCTTGTTCGGCATTCTGGAAGCAGCACTGGAATGAGGCTGGGTCAGACCTTGTGCTGAGGTCATTGCTGTGTGAGTGGTCTGCTCCAGCCAGCCCAAGATCCCACAGTCAGAGAACCAGCTCTTCAGCCCACCCCCAAGATGCAGCTCTGCCTGAGCCTCTGCTTTAGGCTCTAGTTGAAGTCCCACTGTGGCCTCTTGCACCCATGCTGGGGAGAGGGAAGGTGCTGAGGCAGAGCAGGGAGGGTTTGCTCTGCCATCTTGCTTGGTGGGTAGGTGTAGCGAGCCCTGGAGACGTTTCTCCCTGACTTTGCTTTTCTGTCTAGTTTCCCATTTCAGACAAGGTTCGCCAAATGCATGAAATGCAAAGGAAAGAGGAATTGCATTCAACCTGGGCAAAAGTGCTAGAGAAGGTGAGCATTTCTCCTTTTCTCCTTCGGGGTCAGAGGAGGAAAACAACCCTGCTGGCTCTGGGCTCTGTGCCACAGCAGTGTGAGTGGGTGGGAGGACCTGGTCCTTGCCCTCTAGGGCCTGAGAAACCCCCCATGTTCTCTCCATAGCCCGACAAGCAATACTAGTAACTTTCCTCCCTTAAAGCGTTCCCTGGAGGAGAGAGAATTCTGCGTTCCCTTGCCCAAGCTCCCTCCTTCTGCAGGGCAGGTGATGTTAAGCATGACCTGAAAATCTCAAAGAAATTAGGCATTGGGAAGCTTCCAAGCACGGAGTTGGTTGGGGTGAGACTTGAGAGCATCCTCTCAAGAGACAGAGGCAAAATCTCCTTCCCCGTAAGACACTTGAGAATCCACTGGATTCCCCTCAGAACAACCCTTTTTTTTCCAGACCATTGACAGAAATGCCATATTTGTCATCGACAATGCCCATTTCATTGACCCCGCCTCCTGGAGTATCATGGCACCTCTGCTCTGGAACATCTCTGTCTTCATGGTCATGAGCTTATGTCCCGGCTTTGCAAGAACCGAGAGCTTTCACAAAGCCACAGCAAACAACCTGATGTCCCATAAAATCATCTGCTTTCAACTAGAGAAGCTGAAACCTTCAGCTGTGGCGCAGAAGCTCTGCCACGACCTTGGAGTGGTCAGCATCCCTAGGGCTTTAGTGAGGTAAGTTGGAGCAGGGGAGCTCCCTGGACACGAAGCATAGGAGCTGCCAACCCTTTGCTGTTTCACAAGGAGGAAGGGAGGAAGACCCCCAAGGCCAAGCATATCTGGGGTGTGAAAAGGGCTTGGTCTAAGTGGCCAGGCTGTGTGGCAGATTCCCTGGGGCAGAAGTCTGCCCTGCTGCCAGCGAGCACCTAAGCTCCTGAGGAGAGGAAAGGCAGGGCTTGCTGCTCTGTGCTTTGGGCACTGTCTGCAAGTCTTTCCCCAGGGACTTCAGCAAAGGCTGGAGGTTCAGGGGGGCCAAAAACCACATGCCAGCAGGAGGACCTCCCTTTCAGAAGTGAGGTGTAGCTGTGACAAAGATGCTGGCTCCCCAGCTATGCCTGAGTGGCTTGCTACCCACCTCAACTGTTTTTCCTTTTAGGGTGGCGAGTCACTGGAACATGTTGTCCAAAGATGTGGTGAATGCTCCACCCCTGGGAGTGTTCAAGGTCGGGTTGGACAGAGCCTTGGGCGACATGGTCTAGTGTGAGGTGTCCTTGCCCATGGCAGGGGGTTGGAACTAGATGATCCTAAGGTCCTTTTCTATGATTCTACTTTTCTTGTGCTGATCACTGCTGGATCTGTTCCTGCCCAGGTTCCTGGTCCAAAGAAGCTTGGGGATCCCGTATTACTTGGAGGAGCTGGTGCACTTCCTTCGTTGCAACGACATGCTCTTGTTCCGCACCAAGAAGTGGGGTGAAAAAGCAGAGGACAGCTGGGAGAACCTGAACAGTAAGAACCTTTGCCACTGACTAATGAGTTGCTGTGTTGCATTCCCTACAGCACAAACTTGCCCCTTCATTGCCCCATGGATTAGGGGCAGAGTAAGATCTTGCAGCAGATCATGCAGAACTTGGCCTGGCAGAGGCACGGGGCCTTGGACTATTTCAGGTGAACTTGGAAACATTTTCAGGCTGCAGGTCACTTTGCAAATTGCCTCATTC